AGGCATACTGGGAGAGGCAGTCCCTGACATCTAAGGGCCTTAGAGATCAAAACCAGAACCTTGAACCTGATCCGGTGCTCCACTGGAAGCCAATGCAGCTCATGCAGCACTGGTTGAATGTGTGCTGTCTAAGGGGTCCCCATAAGGACCCGCGCAGCTGCATTGTGGACCACTTGGAGCTTCCGGGTCAGGCACAAGGGCAGGCCTGTGCAGAGCAAACTACAGTAGTCCAGCCTGGAGGTGACTGTTGCATGGATTACTGTGGCTAGGTTGGGGCGAGACAGGTAGAGAGCCAGCTGCCTGGCCTGGCAAAGTTGGAGAAACACCAGGTTGGCAGCCTTCGTAACCTGAGTGAAATGTACTGGGTTCGCCACATGGAGGACTTGGACGACGTCATGCGTTTGTACACGTTTATTGTATTTAACATCTAACTGCAAAATGGCCCTGCAAGGCCACTATATACACACCCACCCAGCACACCCCTAGTCCTATTGGAGGGTTTGAATTTCCCGCCAAAGTGGCTATTGGTTGGTGCTGGGGGAACTAGGATCCTATGTTCCTGTTGTTCAGGGGAGCTAAGCTCCTGCCTGTGCCATGGACCCCTAGTGGCGGTCCGCGTACACAACACTGAGCTTCCATGGACAGGGTAGAATCCAAGGTTACGCCGCTGACAGAGGCACACCCTCAGGAGTCGGGAGCTGGCAACCCCATTGATGCTTCCAGGGACCCAGCAAGCGCTGAGTGTGCTCACATGGAAGTGAAAAGAGCCCTTAAAGTGACCCAGCAGGCACCATGCTTCTTGCCCTCTGCAATTCACAGAAAGCTGCAGGCGGCTGAGCATCCATTAAAGTGAGGGGTGGGTGGATAGAGACAGTAGGGGAAATTTTGGGATGCTTGAACTCTTAATAGCTTTATAGTAACTTGGAGGGAGGAGACAGACTAGAGACTGCTGGGGTTCAGGACTTGGGTGAGCAGAAAACATCACATCTAGACCCTGCTGAATCAGACGGCAGGTTCATCTAATCCAGCGTCCTGTTTCCCAGAGTGGCCAGCCAGGTACCCCAGAGGGCCTGCAAGCAGAGGAGCCCAGAGGCTGAAGCCCTCTCTGCCTGTTGCTTCCTCGCCACTGATATCCAGAGGAATACCGCTTGCAAACATGGATGTTCGGCTTTCCAGAAGTGCAGACATGTTTGCAGCCTTTGTGCTACAGGGATGTCTGTCGCCCTCCCCAAGAGTCCTCGTGGGCTCCCAACTCGTAGCTGTCCCAAAGGCACGTCTTTTGCTACCGGATCTGGGGAAACCTGCCAGAAGGAGGACCCTACCCCGCAGAATTGATGACGTCGTCCGATCTTCCGACAAACCAGAAGTAGCCTTCTTCATCCATGATGCCTCTGTCGCCAGTGATGTAAAAGTTTCCCCGCTGGCTGGCTGCTGTTTTCTCAGGGTTATCCTGGCCAGAAAAGAAACCACAGTGGTGCAAAATTACAAACAGGGGACTTCATCCATTTTGCAAACAGTGCATCAAAGCAAATAGGGAGGCACTCTGCGTTGTTGTTTTGGGTGTTTTTTTTTTTTTGAAGCTGCATGCCGGCGGGCATTTATTTGGGTCCCAAGTAGAGAGCAGGTGATATCACCACCACGCTGAAGCTTAACAGGTCTGGAGCTAGTCAGTGCTGGAAAGGGAGGTCTCTTGGGTGTCCTTTATATATGCCAGCCCTGAGTTCCACGATGGAAGACAAGCAGGACAGGAGTATCATGGGGCCAGATGTGGATTCAAGTAGTACATTGCATGCCTGCCAAGCAGGCAGTCCCCCCATCCAGTGCCTGGCACCTCCACTTAAAGCACTGCAGCAGGCACTGAAAGAGACCTGCTCTGCTAGAGGCTGTGGAGAGCCACTGCTAATCATTGCAGACATTTCCCAGGTCGATGCACCAGTTGTTTGTCTAAAGAAGCTTCATGTGGTCCTGTGACCATCAGCACTACCTCCTATGTGGCAGTTCGGAGCAGTTTGAGTAGTTCCAAATAGTTCTGCAGACGAAGTAAGCCAAACTTATTTCTGCATAGCCGGATTCAGAACATGTGTTCTTTTTCTTCAGAACTCTGCCGTGTACGCATATGCCAGTTTATGCAAATGTAGTCAATGACTCCATTAGCATGATTAATTGACTGAGCTTCCTTTAAGTGTATGTGGGAGGGAGACCTTAATTCTACGCCTGTAAAAATGTTGGTGGATTGTTACGTGGAGTGGAAATCAATGTTCTTAGAATAGCGTAACTCTCCATCAGATCGCACTGGGCACACAACTGCTGTCACTTGAACTATTACCAAATAATTACCAAATACTGTGAAAAGAAACAAAACGGCCTCTTGGGATGGACTTGGATGGCAATATCCCCTTCTTCTCCCGGGGGCCGGATGTTGCCCTGGTCATCAACAATCTGGGGAAATTAAAGCATGAGTTATTTTCATTGACTGGTGTTGGTGATATAACACCAAAGCCACCAAAAATGGAAGACCTATCCCTGGACACCAGGACAAAAGCACCGACCCCGAAGACCGCCGGAAGAAGTAGGAGCCGAGCCGGAGAACAGCAAGCCCCACCACCTGGGTGCTGGTAGGCAGCCCCTGCCCCTGTACCATGTGGCCGTAGATAGGGAAAGTAGACTTAGACTTTGTATGTAAACCGCCCAGAGACCCTTCAGGGTCAGGGCGGTATATAAGCCGAATATATAAATAAATAAATAAATGTGTAGAATTAAAATCAGTAATGCACACTGAGAGATGATGGCACCGTTCATCATCGCTCTTCTGTGCAGTCCCGCATCAGGACTACACATGAGCAGGCCTGCCATTGGAGAGGTTCTTACAGCACGGGGCACCTGCGTGCCGGAGCCAGAGACTTGATCCTGCCCAGGGACCACATGCTCCCATGCAGCAGCACCCCCACCCCACCCCCAGTACCATTCTGCTGGGGAACCGCTTCAACTGTCCCCATCTGAGCCGGGACAGAAGATACTCAGTGAACAGTAGTTACAGGTAAGTGCGACTTTGTTTTCTTAATGGTTCCCATTAAGTTCTACGGAACAAAGAAAACCATATGTGAAAGTTAATCCCCAGATTTCTGTTGCTCACTAGTGTCACACCAAGGAGATGGACTCCAGAGTGGGAAACTACATAGATGAGTATCGGCTCAGTTCTTAATAGTTCCTGTTAGGATTTGTGGCACAAAGAAAACGGGCTGGTCAACTGGGAAGCGTTCAGAAGTGAACACACTGTTCACTACATGCAGGCTTCCTAGAGGTTTTTTTTTGGGGGGTGAGCAAGATGCACATGGACACCCGTCATCTTAATGGTTGATATTTTGCTAGGAGCAGGGAAGCAGCAGGGAAAGTGATACCACTCGCTGCCCATATGGAAAATTTCTCCTTGTACCTGAACATTATATGGCGGAGATGCCTTGCCCATTGAGCCCGGTTTAATTTTCATCCCCTTGACGTTAGCGCATATCGTTACCTGTGAGAGAGAGCAACAAAACAAAATTAGGTCGGGGTTTGTTTTGCCTCTGTTTCTGTGTGGACAGCAAGCATGGTAACTTCAGTTCATGAACAGCTGTGACATGCACATGTTCATCGATAAGACGTGCAAAAAAAAAAATTAGCCTTGCTCTGAGCATTTATGCGATAGTGTTCCAAGAGTTGCTCCCGGAGGGCATGAAGAACCCCACATCTCCAGCTCCCAGGAGGAAAAGGCCGTTCCTGTATTGCCAAAGTGGCTAGACTGCAACTGTCCGTCACGGCAGCCGTGGATGTCTGGCGGGGCTTCCCTGGCATGATGGAGCCAGTGTAGTCGACACAGGCCTATCTAAGGCTAAGGAGATGTTGGGGTGGTTTGCTACAGTTGTGAGACACACAACACTCTCACTGCGTGACTGATCCAAAGTCCTTGGGTTGTTGTTTTACAAACACAAGGATTCTGTCACACATAAGCTCAGTGATGTGCACAAGCTCGATATCAGGACACCCCATCGATGTGCAGCGTCTTTTTAAAAAGGCTGTGCAGAACAGTGAGAGCACAGAGGGACTGTCCTGAGACCCAGTCCCAGGAGAGCCAAGGGCAGGCATACCGTTTCTGTCTGACCATAGGCTTCGTAGATATCCAGCCCTGTCTTGGCTTTCCAGCGTTCCTGCACTTCAGGGTTGAGAGGTTCTCCTCCAGTCACACAGTGCTGCAGGCTCTTGAATCTGTAGCTATAAAGGGAAGGAGGAGGATTAATAACCCCAGACAGACCACCACAGTACAAAACAGAAGGCTGGCTGACTCACTGGGGGGGGTCTCTTGGATCACACAAGATCGCATGTCCCTATTAAACGTCATCAGCAGGAGTCTTTTGGGGCTGGAGCGCACCGGAGTGCTGCTCTGGCAGCTCAGGAGCCGGCACAAATGGTGGTGCAGCAAGCCCTGCCCCCAGATCCCCGCGTCAAAGCGCTGGGGCCGGGGGGAGGCTCGAAGAGCCCTGCTGCCGGGTCCCCCGGGCCCATGCCAAAGCACTGGGACTGGGGGGAGGCCCGAAGAGCCCCGCTGCCAGGTTCCCTGAGCCTGAGCCAAAGTGCTGGGGCCAGGGGCAGGCCCGGAGAGCCCCACAGCCGAGTCCCCTGGGCCCGCACTGAAGCGGTAACTAAGGGATCCACGGGGGTGGCGGGGGCTTGATGGGAGTGGGAGTGGGGGTGGGAGAGCCTCCCTCCCTCCCTTTGCCATCTTTTCCTCCTTTCCTTTTCTTTTCCTATCTTTCTTTCTCTCT